CCACCAAACCACCCCAACCCAACCCGAAGGCTCAGATTTACCCTCGATTTCTAGTGGGGGGGGGTCCGGAAACATAGAGAAAACACATATGGAACCCATACCCCCCCCAACCCGAAATTCGGGTCTTCGGGTTGGGTTGGGGTGGTCTGGTAGGTAGTCAATTCTACAACACTTCCACAACATGTTTCCATTGCTGTGCTGCCTCTCGGGGGCCGCCGTCGGCCGACCCTGGCTGCTTCCCCCGGGCTCCGCCTCCCTTGTACGGTAGGTTTGCGTCGTGTCGACCAGCGGCGACCCCAGCGCGGGCGTTCAAGGTTGAACGCCGCCGGCGACCCAGAATCGATCGATGTCGAACGATCGGACGTTGCGGCAGCGGCCGATCGTTCAAGGTTGAACGATCCCTGCGGTGTCAAAAACCAACGCTGGGGTCGACACGACACGAACCTGCCGTATTCCTCCTACTCCGCCACGCGTTCGGTGTATGGTCTCGCGTGGCATCTCAAGTTGCGACGCGGTTTCCTCTTCTCCTCTGCTTCCCATCCCGCTCCTGGCGCTTCCGCTGGCAGGTTCCCTTCTTGCCCAGCGTTGCCCTGCGTGCGCAGGCACTTTCGAGTGAGGATGGTGCGGGTTCTCTTCTCCGCGCCGCATCCGCACGGTTGTCTTTCCCTCCGCTCCTCTTGCTTCGCCCCTGCGTGATAGAACTCCGGGCGTCCGCTTGTGATTTGGAGTGGGTATCGTTTGATAAAGAAATTGTCTCGCCCCTCTTTGATTGTCGTTGAACCGGGTCCGGTTGTATAAATGGTCCGTTGGATCATGGGTGATGCACGCGACACGCGACACGCCGTTGTTTCTGCTTTTCTTGGCCTCCTTCTCCTCCTCTCCTTCGGCGGCCGTCACTTTTGAGTTCCAGGGCGTCTGCTCAAGGACGCTACCAGGCAGACAGGACAGACGAGGGCAATCGTGTTCGTGCTGGCTTTGCGCGATCCAAATGTAAAGGCACTTGTGACATGAATTCAAAAGTGAGTGCCCGATCCCAGCCTCTTTCTTCATGTATAATGTCCTACATGGAATTCAATCGGAATTCAATTTGAAGTTAGTCGATTCAAACCTCCCGGCGAATTCTTGAATTTTTGATTCGTTGACCGATGGGGGTTCGATTGCGAAACTCGCTCATGCAAGCCTCGCGCAGAATTCTCGAGTATTCGATTTGCTTTTCTTTGATGAGCCAGCGCACTCGGCAAGTACTTTGTCTCAAGCCCCTTCACAGTAGTTTGATTGCGTTTGGGAAGTAAAATCAACAGGACACGCGCCGATCGCCACCCCCCGCCGAATTTTCCAATCTTCTCGTTTTTGCAAATGTCATTCCCATCGGACCTGCGCCGGGGCCAGTCTCCCACATGAGTGTTTGAGATTGTTTTTTGTTTCAGGATGGATTCAGTACGACTTGCGGTGGTCCCCGCATCCCGCATAGTGGTCGCGTATCCTAACTGTTGGTTCACCAGGAATTCACTAGGGAACGCGCCGATCCTAACCTCCCATTGGATTCTTGAATTTTGGATATGTTCTGCAGTGGGGAGTCAGGGGGCGTTCCGTGGCCTCTGTGATTGAGCATGCGCAGCAAACTCAGGCAGGCTCGACCCAAAGACGGTGATGTCGACGAGTGTGCCATCCAGAGAAAGCGAACTTCGGCAATTGTCTCATCTTCAGCTCCTTCACGAACAATGTTTTTGCTTTTCTGACATGCATTCACACGCAATTGCGCCGATCCCAGCCCCCAGCATAATTCTGTTCAACCGGGATTCAATCAGACATCCGCCGATCCCCTGCAAAATTCGCTCATGCTCGATTTGCTGATCGATGGGGGTTCAATAGGAAACGCTCTGATGCGAGCCTTCTGGTCCTCCTCTCCTCCGTTTCATCCTTTTCCATTTTGGCTCAAGTGCTCTTGGCCTTGAGCCCTGAAAGACCTCTACCACGAGGTGAAGACCATCAAGGCGGAGACATCTACACCAGCAGTTGAGGCGCTCGAAGAGGGCTTGTCTGGTGCTGGGCTCGCTGGTGCCCGATCCCGAGGACGTGGCGCGGGAGTATGGGTGGGACATCCCAGCGGGGGCGACGCCCCAGGGGGTCGTCCATGCCATGGCTGATCGCGCTCACAAAGATGCCCCGCAACAGCTCGCACGGCATTCCTTTCTCGGGCGAGGGCCCGTATTTCACGGCCCCCAGGTTGGAGGAGATACCGCAGTCTGCAGCAGCCTTGGCGAGCCTGGTGGACGACCAAGCTGGGCTGCCGCAGGCCACCCGCGCCACTGAAGAGGACGCCTTGATTCAAGGGCTCCCATGAGGGCGCGAAGTTATTCGCGCTTCGCGGTCCTCGTTCCTTCTCCCCCTCCTCCTCGTCCTCCTTTTCTCCTTTTGGGGGGGCGGCGCGAGGGCGCGAAGTTATTCGCGCTTCGCGGAGCGCGAAGCGCGAAGTTGGGAGCCCTAGACTTTGTGGCAGTGGCAGAGCCTGTGCCCAATCTGCTGAGGGCACCGCAGGCAGCCCGCCGTCGTACCAGGCGAAGCATCGCAGTCCGTCGGTCGGGACGGAGATTGACTCTTCCATGGCGACCCCGCGGGACGTAGGCACCGACCCCGAGATGCAGCAGGCATTTCGGCAGCTAGACTGAGAGACGGCCGCGGGGCCCACCACCAGCGACACAACGACGATCGGCAAGCAGAAGGATACGAAGAATGAGGAGGACCAGCGCGCGCGCCGCCGTCCATCGTCGAGACCATCTCAAGCGCAGCCATCGAGAGCGCCAGGGAGGAGCGCACGATCGGCAAGACCGATGCGTCCGTGGCTCCAGAGATGCCCGCAGAGCACATTCACCCGCTCTCGAAGGCTCGGGGGGAGCTGATCAAGCGCGCGGGGCAGCGGGACTTCACGGAAATGATTGAGACTATCCAGGTCTACCCCGAGCTGGCCCCGCGCGTCCTTGCCTTCGAACCCCGCCTCCAGGCGGTCGAGCGCTGCGCCACCAGTTAGTCAACTGAATGGTAGACATAATGGTCTGTGGGGGCATCAACAGCCTCGCGGTCCTGCTTGGCCGTCTTGCGGCGCTCTGCGATTTCGTCGCCAAAAACGAGTCTTTCTGAGCGTCCGATTGCGTTCGCCCCTTTTCCATTGCGTGTTTTGATGATGCCGCCGTTGATTGCCGTGCCTCGTCGCGCTGCGATGCTAGGCGCGGCTCCTAGACACGTGCGGGGGGGGGGGCAGGCGTTCGGCGTCGTGGAGCCGAGCTTGTTGCGCTTCGGAAGTGTAGTTCCGGCCACCGGATTCGGTCTTCCCCCTCTCGGCTCTTCTCCTTCCCTGATCCCTGCTTTCCTATTGTCGCGCGCTCGCCCTTCCCTCGCTTTGTTCGCTTTAGGCTTCCCCACTCGCTGCGTCAGGCCGCTCATCCGAACTGTTGCGCCTGGACGTGGTCACTTGCATGCCGTATTCCAAGGGATTTCGACCGTTGACCTGCATGGGGTTTTTGCCCAATTATCCGAGATGCTGTGCCCAATCGACCATCCCTTATTCTGTTCTCTCCATGCGCGCTTGCGTCGTTCGAATGTCACCGCCTCACACGTCTTTTTAAGCATTCCTTTTCACAACCCGGTGCGTGCCGTTGAAACGCAGGCGCTCGCATGGGTCTGGTAGTTGAGGGGTCCGGTGGCGGAGGATGAGGAACAGGAGGAGGAAGAACAATGGCATGTCGTGCAAGCCTCTCCCCTCTCCATCACAGTCCTTCCGTGCCAGCATTTCCAAGCATACCGACTTATCCTCATTCGCATTATTATTTACCTGCTCTTTTTGTTGCCCCTCTCTGCAGCCGCCCCCTTCCCTCCCAACTGCGTCCTCCGGGCTCGCCCGCTGGAGGTTCAAAACCATTCGGAATCAATGGGGTTCGAACTATCCAGAAACATCCAGATCATCCTAGTGGGGGTTTCAACCAAAGAAAACAAACACAATCATTTTCAAACCTTGTCGGGCTGGGGCTCGTTGGCCCAGGAATCGAAACTAATCGCCCTACCTTTGTGGGGAGGAGATACGTAACCAGACAGACCAATTCATTCGTGTCGGTGTTTTATGGAGCAGGCGAAACCAGAATTTGAATTTAGCGGGCTGTGTCTTGGATACCCGAACCGACGACCCCCACGCCGACTTTGCTTGTAAACGAGCTATATCGTTGAACTTAACATTTGTTGTTTGTGTTTTTGTTCATGTCGTCGATTGCGATTCAAATATTTTTTGATCCCCAAGCCAGCTAATATCGAACATGTTTTCTCTTGTCTTCTTTTCCCGCACCCCCACTATGCAAACTTTCGTCAATAACAGAAATACATGGTGTTTCACAAATGTGAGATTCCTAGCTTCACGAAGAGAGGGTTGTCCTCCTCCTCCCCCTCTTCCTGCCCTTCTCCTCCTCGTGACGGGGGGGGGGGTTGACGAGCACTGCTCGTTCTGGTTCAGGTTCCTCTCCGTCCTTTCCCCCTTTGCTTCATGATCTATTTCGTTTTGATGTGTTTCCTCATTTTCATGAATTGCGTGCAAGGTCCAAGCAGGGAAGAACATAGAGAACAGGAGGAGGAGGCCAGCCATGCCTCCCGCCAAGGGACGGCGCAGCGGTTGTGGCCGATGCCGCCGAGGCCATTAAGGAAGCTTCGTTTGTTTCCTCTTTTTCCTACGATGGGAAGCACTGTCAGCGTAGTTCTTCCCGTTACGTGTGTCCCCACTTGCGAATCCAAAAGCGATCGCCAGGCGAGTTGCTTGGATCAGGAAAGTACGTGTAGAAGCGCATGCAGTGGCACAGCTGCTCGGGAGGTTTCGTGGAAACATTGGGTCCCGCCGACGACGGATGAACCAGCGCAGCAGAGCATCCACTTTATGCAGAGCCAGTGCCCAGTCGAAGTGTCTTAGGAATTTAGGAACTTCGCTGAGATATCGCATAAGCAGCCAGCAACAGCTTGTTGGAATCCGTTTTTGCAGGCCTACAGGTTGACACCAACACCAATATCGGCGGTGTACTTCCACTGAGGGACGAAGATCCCGATCTCGGTGATGGTAATATTATGGCTTCCAAGGTTACCGAAATATTACCACCAACACCGAAATCTAGGATCGTTTTCCTCCCTGTGAAGGCAGCCCCCTGTGTTAGTGTTGGTGCCCATTTCCATGCCTCCAGCTTTTGGGTTGTTTCAGAGGCTCTTTTGGGTTGGGGCCTTCTTGCTGCTCTTTTTGACCAGTCCTTGGGCCTTAGTGGGATTATCTGTTTCCATGGCTCAACCAGGGGGGATTTAATTCACCCCCCCATCAGAGGCCGACAAATTTTCATCTTGGGCCCCTTTGTGGGCTCTTTTGGGCCACATTTGGGCCATCTTCTTGAAAGAGCAGGAATCCATCGGAAGCGAGAAGGCGAGAAGACAAACAATATTAATGCTCCTCAGGTTTTGGATGGATTTGGGCAACTCGGGGGCGTCCTGGGACTGGTTCCGTGGCCGCTTGGAACCGTCTTGGGGCTGTCTTGGGGTCGCTTGGACGTGCATCGGAAGTCTTTTTGAGCAATGATGGGCTATGCTGAGCCATCTTGAAGGCCATCTTGATGCGTCGGGGGCCCTCTTGGAGCCATCTTGGGCGACAAACACGCTGTGATACCTCCGCTCACCTGGCCAGACCTAGGGGAGGAGGCGGGGGGAGGGGTCAAGTTCCCAGCGGGAAGCCGCAAGCTCGCTCACTCCCGCCCGCCTCCCTACTACATAAGTAGCACCCGATTCTCAGCAAAGGCAGGGTCCGCTATCGACATCATTGGGAACCAATGCAGACGCCAGCCAGGTGCGCGACGCCCGCGAGACGCGCCGCACGCGCCAGGTGCGCCATGCACACCAGGTGCGCCACATTATTGGGCAGTATATCGACCCCCGACTATCCCTGTCAAGGACCAATGCAAAATGACGGCGGGGTTGCCAGCATTGTGTCTTCTTTGTGCACTGTGCACCCTCACGCTCACTTTGCATGTGTTTTTGGCAGGGATTGCAGGCCTGCGCACAACTGGCAATCTGCTGCCCTTCCCAGCTGTCTCTAGCAAGTGCACGGTGCATTGTTTTCCGAAGGGTGGGTGGGGTTTGGGGGGTTTGGAATTGCGCGCAGCAGGCAACGTGTGGGCCCCCTCGCCGTCCCGGTCTTTGCACGGTGTTTTGGCAGTGGTGGTGGGGGGTGCTGGCGTTGCAGACAGCGAGCAATATACGAAGAAGCAAAACAACGCAAACATAAACTTTTGGCGCTCTGCGCGGATTTCTTGGATCCGCGCCTGGCCCCCCCGGCGGCGCCTCCGGCGCCGCCCTTGGTGCGCTCCACGCGCCATGGACGGGGGCCCAGCGCGAATCCAAGAAATCCGTGCGGGGAGCCAACAGTTTATGTTTGCGTGTTTTCTTCTTCTAAATATGTTGCCCCCCCCCCCGCCGTAGAAGACCATGCATGGTGATCCCGCGGCGTCTGCGCATGATCCAGATTCTAGTGCAGAGTGCTCTTTGCATTGTTCTCTCGCGCTGGGATGGTGGGGAATGTCCTGGTGTGGGCCAGTCGTCGGTCGGGTGGTGAAGGGAGTGTCTACTGTTATCACTGAGCGCCGTCCGCTACGCCAAGTACCTACTCGCAAACGTCAGAAAGTCAGCACGGCTTCACATATGTGATGGGTCGTGAACCCCTGCAGCGGATCCTGGCCAGTTGCGCGCAGCTCCTTTTTGGGGAGTCCCGGAACGCGCTTGTCTCTGCCGGCACGGAGCGGTGGGCTCCAGGATTCTGGGCTGGCCTCGCCCGCGCCCGCGCAGGGGCGCGGAGTACGGTCAGAACGGGGAGGGGAGCAGTGACTCAGTATCGGTTAACCTAACCCCAACCCCATGAAGCCTCCCACCAGCCCACCCCCTCCCGCCGCCCCCGACTTGGGGATATACCCTCCAAAACCCGAGGGAGACGGCCTATATCCCCATCTCGGGGGGTAAATCCCCAAGTGGAGAAAAGGCCACCTAGATGGGGATAGGGTTCGGATAAACGATGCCCAGTGACGGAGCTCTTCCTGAACATGGGGGAGGTGCAGTGCTGGACGAGGGGATCGACAGACCTGTGACAGCGGGGGCGCGCATTGGGTCTCTTCGCTCCGCGCGATGCGCGGGGGCATCCCGCGGCCGTCGAGTAAGCTGCTGCGTTCGGGGTGCTCAGGGTTCCCCCCCAAGGTGCGTCTCCCACGCGGGTTTCCAGGGCCGTGTTTCTTGCCAGGGTCTGTTACGGCCGCGCCCGCACTGTATACCACCTCCGCCCAGAGGCCTGGTGGGAATGCTGGCACTCAGCGCTTTGAACAACTATGCCAGGGCTCTGCCTCAGCGGTCGGATGTTGGTCTTGGCTGTGCGCTCATGATGGTTGACATCATCCCTCATTTATCGCATCCCTGCACCAGCTCATCCTTCTCTTCCACCCCAGGATCGTTTACATTACCATCCTCTTTCCTTGTCCTCCTTATCCATACTTTCTGACTCTTCTCGGTCAGCCGCTGAACAGCATTGTGATGTGTGAGAGTTGCGGGTTATCTAGCGGATGCCGACGCCAAGTCTAGAACGCTTCGCGTATCCCTCCAGCACGGTGTTTTTCATTTCGCATGTGGCACAGCCTGCCCCTGCTTGCCCGGCGTCCGACCCGCTTCGCGCGCCTGCGAAACAAAACGTACCCCTTCTTCTAGCCCATCCAGAACGATGCCTCGGCGAGCTGCCCTGATCATGGAAATTTAGGAGGGTCGAGTGAAACAGGGGAAGAAGACAACAGCCGTCGAACCGAAGCCCTGATTCCTCCTCTCGGAGGTTTCTTGGGGACTCCTGGAGGTCGCCTGCGAGCCTCCTTGGGGCCGTTTTGGAGGCTTTTTCGGTGCCCATTGGGGCCTCGTGCGCGCCCTTTTCGGGGCCATCGTTGGGTTCCTCCTTTGGGGCCTCGGGTGTCCTGCTGGAGCTATCTTGAAGACATCGACCAAGAACTAGGAGCTATCCTTGAACATATGTTTGAAGCTACCTTGTAGACACCTTTTGAAGTTATCTTAAAAGCATCGTTGGGCCTTGGGTGCCGGAGCTATCGTTGGGGATAGCTTTCGTAAGCCTTGCCCCTGTAAGGTGCCTAAGATCGCCTCTCGGGGCGCTCTTGGGGCATGATGATGATGCGGATGCTGATGATGTTGGTCAGGCGTAGTGGTCATGATCATGCTTGTTAGTTGTGGTGATGATGATGAAGATGCTGATCGTGCTGTTGATGATGATGGCGCTGACGATTATGATGATGATGGTGATGCTGATGCTGATCATGCTGATGCTGATGATGATGCTGCTCGGGATCTTGAGTGATTCGGACGCCATCAATTCATAACGTGCCCGCGAGCCCTTTTGCTCGAGTTGCGCCTGAGGAAAAGAGCCCCAATACACGCTTCCCCCACGCATCCGCGTAGCTTCCGCCATGGTAGCGGAGAGCGTGGTTCTGTGGTGAGCTACGCAGTTCAGATCCATGGGGAGACTGAGGACGGGTGCTGCCCATGGCAGCGGCGCCCAGAGAGCAGCTGGTGGATTGCAGGGGCGGCATCAAACTGCCAGAGTTCAGTGGCAGAGATGAGGACTGGCCCAGCTGGTCCATCAAAGCCCACGCGTTCTTCGCGCTGATGGGCTGGGATGACCTCATCGACCATGTTGAGGCCCAGCCAGCGCCCGTGGTGGACCGCGTCAGCATGGGCGAGCGCGCGGCAGCGACGAGCAAACTGCTGCATGCCATGCTGATCGCCAAGACCTAGCGCAAGGCGCTGGCGATGGTTACGCTCGCAGGCAGGCACGAGGGTTTCGTCGCTTGGTGGGCGATCAAGAACGAGTACAAGCCTGGGGTGGGCAACAGGTTCGCAGCCATGCTCAGCGGCCTGCTCAACCTCAGGTGGGGCGACCAGAAGCCGTTCGCCCACCAGCTCGCTGACTGGGACAACGATGTGGCGAGGTACGTCATGCAGGCGGGGAAGGATTTCGGCGATGAGTTTCGCATCGCCACGCTGCTCTTCCATAGCCCCGAGCCGTGCAAGACCGTGCTACGCAATGCTCCGACGGCCGCCAAGGTCTCGCACATGGCGCTGAGGACCCACCTTAGGGGGTGGATGGCGCCTGGACAGGTTTTCGCAGCTAGCGGCACGGCGGGCCAGGGCGTGGCGCCCGTGGAGATCGGTGCGATCTCGGGCCATGCCCTGCCGCAACAGCGTTGGCCCAAGCGCAGGGGCGACGCGCCAGGATGCGACGAGGGTGACAGGATGGGCGGCAAGGGCGACATGGGCGGGAAAAGGCAGCAAAAAGGGAGTCAAGAATGACAAGCTCACGGGCAGCTACCCCGCCACGTTCGAGGGGGCCTGCAACCGGTGCCAGAAGCAGGGGCACATTGAGAAGGACAGCTGGCACAAGGCGGCTGGCAAGCCACGGGTGCCGCCAGCAGCGCCCCCGAAGGCGGCCGCAAGCCAGCAGGCCCCTGCAGGGGCTGAGGGCCAGAGCGCCGCGAGCGCGGTGGCCGCGGGCTCCGACGGCGACGAGGTCGGCTGGGTCGTCGGGGTCGGGGGCTCAGTCGGAGGCTGCCGCGGGGAGGAGCGCAGAGGGCTCATCCTCGCAGACAGCGGCAGCGACGAGCACTTCTGCGGCCGGGCGTTCGGAGCGCAGCATCCGACAGTTCAGGAGACCCCACTGCGCCCAAGTTCACCACGGTGAGCGGCCAGAGGCTTGGCACCGCGGGGCCCCTGTGGGATTCCGATGGTCGTCGGTGGCGACGGGGGTCGCCAGCCATTCTTGGGGAACCTCAGGGTGAGCAACGACCTCGCCCCTCAGGACGTGGTGCTCAGCCTCGGGCAGCTGGCGCGCAAGCAGTTCAGGTTTGCCCTTGAGGAGAGCGACCCGCGCGCCGTGAACCACGGGGCGGGCGAGAGGGCGGACGCGAAGCTAGTTGGCAACGCGCCCCATTTAAGCTCGCAGCCTGCCGCGCCAGGGCCGCCGCTGCAGGCGCCGCGGGAGCTCCGTGGAGGGCGGCGCGAGGAGAGGATCCCCCGCCGCGCCCGGAAGTTCGAGGGTCACGTGGCCCAGCACCACCAGACGCAGGAGCTGCGCCACCACTGGCGCAGGGGGCGGCGGCGCCACCAAGGGCGCAGGAGGCGGCGGCGCCCGCGCAGGGCCAGGAGGCACCTGCGGCCGCACAGTCGCCGGGGCGGTCATGCCTCGAGGGGCTTGGGCCGAGCTCGAGCATCGGCGCCATGCAGCAACGCGTCAAGGAGATCAACGCCCGCGCTACGGGGCATTGCTCAGTGCTGGGCACGGCTCGTCGAGTGCGCGGGCAGACGCGAGGTGAGGGCGGCGACGGGTGACTTCCGCGAGCTAAGGCGCGAGGGGGTGAGGCGCCAGGCGGAGGCGGGGCAGGTGCTGGTGCCGGCCACGTTCCCCGATGTCCGCGAGCCGACGCCGGGGGGGAGACGGCGCCACGAGGAGAACCAGCACTGCCCACCACGACGTTGGTGCGAGCACTGCCAGATGGGACGTGGGCGCGACAGGCCCCGCGAGCTTCTGGGCGCGGAGGTGGAACGCCCCCCCGTGATCGGGCTCGACCTGGTGTTCTTCAAGGGCGAGGCGGCCGACGCCGTGGAGACGGGCCACCGCGCCGAGGATGGCCAGAGACAGGGCGAGGAGGTGGTGCTGGTGGTCGCGGATGCCTACGCGGGTGCCATGAGGGGCGCCCCGAAGCCTGACCGACGCGCCGACCCTTACACGGCGGCAGCCACGGTGGCGTTCATCAGGAGCCTTTCCCATCAGAAGGTTATCTTAAGGCCAGACCACGAGGATGTCATGATGGACCTGGCCAACAAGGTCGAGGCAGAGCTGCCCAACCGCGTGGTCGTGAGACCTGCCCCCACGTTCAGCTCCCAGTCGAGCCCCTCCGAGAACGCCAATCGCATCATCCAGGCGCAGTTCCGCACTAGCAGGAGCGCGCTGGAGGCACGACTGGGGGCTGGGGTCCGACCAGGCACGGCCATGCACCAGCGGCTGCAGCGCCGCGCGGGCTGGGCATGCACCATCCTGAGAATCAAGGCGAGCGGTTGGGCCGCACGCGTGGACCTACGGCCGCGCCTGCGCCAGGGAGATGCCCCCCCCCAGGGGAGTCCGCCCTGGCGCGCCTACCTAGGGGCAGGAATCACAGGGCGAGAGGCAAGGTGCACCACAAGGACATGGGCTTCGCGACGACAGCGACGCGCGCAGATGCGCCCTCGAGACGGGCGCGGTGGTTGCGACGAGGACCGTCAAGAGGCTGCCCGAAGAGCGGAGATTCAATCGCACCGCCGTGGCGGCTATCACGTAGATGCCATGGCAGCCCCGAGGGCGCGGCACGGCCCCGCGCGGGATCGAGCCGATTGCCACGCCCCCTGCCGCTGCGGACGCCGACCTGGCGGCGCAAACGGCAGCTGAGGCACGGCCAGACCCGATCGCTGCTGCCCATTCCACTGGGGCCGCCCATGGCGGCGGGCCAGCAGCCCAGACGGGCGCGCCCATGGTGGCGCCCTCGGCCGACGCGGCAGGCGGCGCCGAGGCGACCGCTGGGGACAGGCAGGCGGGGCCAGCGATGCAGCCGTCGGCTGGGGGTGGCGCTGGGGGCGACACCCCCATGACGCCGAGGTGCGGCGCCAGCGAGTGCGGCTCCGCAGACGCCCCTGATGGGTCGATCGCCGGAGCGACCCGCGGAGGACGGTGACAAACGTGGCACCCTTGCGAGGTCCCGAGTTAGCGATGACGTTCGGCTGGACTTCCTGCAGATCCCCAGGGACATGGATGTCCCAGATCCCCATGATGCGTCGGACTCGCAGTTGATAGAGGCTTCCACCCGACGGGCCCTCGACGGGCTGCAACAGCACGGGGTGGGCAGGCTCGTCAAGCGGGGCGAGGCCGCCGACAAGAGGATCAGCGCCCGCTGGGGCCATATCTGCAAGTGGGACGTGAACCTCGGGTGCACGATCGCTAAGTCAAGGTGCGTCGCTCGAGAGTTCAAGCGGCGGGAGCACCGCGACGACCTCTTTACGCCAGGGAGCAGCATGGCCGACAGCCGAGTAGTCTTGGTTGGCGTTAAAAATGGCCTGGGCAGTTTTCCATTTCCAACTTTCCGCTCTTGGAGAGCTGGAAATGGTAAAAAATGAAACAGTTCATGTATTTTTTGGTTTATTTTTTTAGTCATGGTTTGCTGCCTCTGTGAGGCCGCCTTTCTGTCTCATTTCCTGGCGTTCCTCTTGTACCCCTACTATCAGGACGACGACAACGACGCCGACGATGACGATGCCGACGAAGACGTCGACGACTACCTACTACTGCTACTGTTACTGCTACTGCTATTACTACTATTGCTACTACAACGACTACTACGACGACGACTACTACTAGTACTACGACGACT